GCAGCAGTAATCCTCGGAAATTTGCTCGCCTTTCACCACCACCAAACCCTTGCTTTCACTCGAGATACTCCATAGTTCAGCTTTTTGTTGAAGGAGTTGATTAGAAGGTGTTGGGTTTTCAGGGATCCATGGACTTTTGGAATTTTCCATTATTTTAGTGCAGGACATTCTGTTCAAGCTCTACAAAAATTTCGATTTTTATTTTTCTGTCTCTATAAAATCCTTACTTCCCATTAGGGAGACTTCATAGTTCAGCTTCTTGTAAGTGGACGAGAAAGAAAAGGAAGATTTAGAAAATTGATGACAAAACTTTTGAAACTTCAAGTGGATTCAGATTGTTCTAGTGCATTATAGGATATTGAATTTTTATAGATCCGACTCATTTTTTTTTCATTTTGTCACAAAGTTCACAGTTCAGTTTCTTGTTGATCAAGTAGGAAAGAAGGAAGATCATTTTTTTTAAGTTCAAAAAAAAACATCACGATATTGTTGATTAATTGAGATTATCATAGTCCAAGACGTTTTTTTTTTCAAAGTTCCTTGAAAAACGGACTTTTTTTCATTTTTCAAATCCTTCGCTTCCATTAGAGGAGCTTCATAGTTTAGTTTCTTGTTGATAAAATAGACGAGAAAAAAAAAAGTTATTTTTTCATATTTCATCCTTGACAGATTTTTTAAAGCTTTGAGTGAGTTCTGATTCTTCTAGGCCAGGATAATTGTTTCGAAGCTTTTCGAAATTCTGACTCGTTTTTTTTCTCTGTCAATCCTTGTTTGAGGCTTTATAGTTCAGTTTCTTAAGAATAACATGGATCAGAAGAAAAAGCGTATGTTTTGGTGTTGAAATCTTGACGAAAATTCGAGGTGAACTCTGGAAACTTTGAGTAAGTTTGGATCATTCTAGTTTAGGACGCTTTTTTTCAAAGTTCGACTCTTTTTTCCATTATCAAACCCTTGGAGAGTGGCTTCATAGTTCATCTTCTCCTTATCAGTTCGGAGAGAAACTTGAAAAAAGCTCGAGTGGAAGATTTTTGAGAAACCTGTAATTTTTATCTCAAACTTAAAAGTTTTAATAACAACCAATCTCAAAAAACCTCAAATCTCACTGTTTTGTCATTTTTCGGCAAAGTTCATATTTTCCGTGAGCATTTAGCATCTCCGAGTTTAGCCAATTGAAAAAAACGGCATTGAAAAGCCCGTTCTTTGGCAACATTTCCTCGCTCTTCCCATTTGATTGGAGCTGGAGGAGAGCTCGAGCTTGAAGGTGCTGATGGTAGCGTCTGGAGAACGGCCTCCAATTGCCCTAAGTGTGTTTCAATTGCCGGCCACACGTCTTCTTCTTCTTCTTCTTTTTTCTTCCTTTTCATCGTCTTTTCCGCTTTTTTTGATGTTGGTTTTGGAGGAAATGGTTGCTTTGATGGGATAATTTGCACCTTTTTTGGTGGAGGGAGAATTTGAAGCTTGAAGGCTGGATTTAGGTAAGTTTATTTTGAGAGTTGTAGATGGTTTGCAAAGATCAGAAGCGACCTTTTTCGATGAAAAATACATATTTTTATGGTTTTTCCAATTTTTTTAATACTTTCAAACTCGACATCGAAAAAAATTGTAATAACAGGTTTTGCTAATCCGAGACTTTATTTTTGCGATTTTAACTTTATTTTTCTACTCACTTTTTCAAGTTTTTCCGTAACATGAGCAACATTTTGCAACAAGCTCCGCCCTCTTTTACCATTAGAATCTGACTAAAACGCTTGGAGGCTTGCAAAATTGAAGTAATCTTACATTTTCGTTTCATTATTTATAAAAAAATCGTTTGAAGGCTGCCATTCATTCTCTAAAAAAATAACCTTTTTTTCGAGTTTTTATTTTTTTTAATTTTTTTACAAAAGTATTTTTTTGAGCTAAAATTTGTAAACGTGCTCCACGGATAATCTCTTTTTTTCATGGCTTTTTTCAAAACTTTTTGCTCCAAAAATTTCTTACTTTTTTTCTACTCTCAGTAGATAATTCAAGCCAAACGCTCCATAAATCTTCGGAAAAAAAAGAACAAGAAGATTTTGAAGAATCGCCGATATATAACATATGTGTCCGTATGTGTTGTGGAGGGCATAAACGGATGACGGATTGGCCTCTTGGCGACACTTTTCCGGCTTGCCGCCGTCGTCCCCACCGAATTTATATCTGTTCAACTACATTTTTCTTCCCTCCATCTCTATAGTTTGATTTTTCGGGAGAAAATAAGTTCCAAGATGCTGAAAAAGAAAAAAAGACCGTTTTTCCGACCTTGAGATGTTTCCCATTTCTTTCCGAAAATCGGATCAGTAGGTGTCTTTTCGAACGTCGCACTTTTAACCTTGTTTGAAAATTCGATACGGCTTCAATAAGAAGAAAGTTTCCGCATGGATTTAGAGATTAGAGCTGCTTTCTGTTGGAAGCAGCTTAAAAAAGATCAGAAATCAAGGTGATTAGTCAGCAATTTGTCAGTTGAATTTGTTGCACTTTTAGGAAGATTTTGAGCATATTTTAAAGATTTTTTTGAACTTTATTGTTTTTTTCTTCTAAAAAAAGCTGTCTATGAACTTTCAGTGAATTCAATTTTTTGTTCTTTATGAAGTTTTTGAAGTGGGAAGCGACTCCTGTAGCGTGAAAAGAGTGAGCCGATAAACAATTTTGAGGACTCTTTTCTAATTTTTGAAAATTTTAAGTTTTAGAAGCTTCACTCTTTTCAATTAATAAGACCATTGAAATTTGTCATTTTGAACGTTCTTTTCAAGAATCCGAATCAGTTCAGACATTCGAGAAATCAACCCATATTTCCACTGAAGATACCTTTTGCGATGGAGCAAACTTGCCCAAAAGCGATCAAAAATGGCCGGAAAAAGGAAAAGAAAAGAGCAGGGTAGGAATACTTGCAAGATTGTTTCAAAATAATTTCTATCAAAGTTTACTAAACGTTTTGAAATCGTTAACCAATTTTTATGCTTCGTTTCAAATTTTGAACTTACATAACTTTCATAAAGATCCTTTTGAATCACAATTGCGCGAAATTTTCGGATTTTTCATTTCACAGAAACCTCAAAAAGGTCCTCTCAAACTCTCCAAGAAGTTCCATAAGTTGAGTTGTCCTGAATTCAAAAAAAGTCCTTCATTTATTACTTCACTGACGAGGAAGGTGATTTTACATTGGGAATTTCCTGAAAATTGGCCAGACCACTTCTTGATGAACAAGAAGAAGATCCTGAGAGCCTCAACCTGCACGATTTCCTCGTTTTTCAGAAAAGACGCCTCAAAGTCAAGGGAAACCCTCAAAATCCATTAAAAAGGCATTTTGAAGCTTTGGGCCTTTATTTCTCGAAAAATCGGAGCTTTTGCAGGTTGAGACTTTCAGGATGTTCATCTGGTACATCGAGAAGTTTTCTGCCAAATTTTTGGGAAATCGCAAAGTAAAACGACCTCCCGTGAGTGTGCTTTCCCAATAGAGCATACTTGTATTCTTAAAGGACTTTTTCCAGCATATCGGAACTGATAGTTGTTTTTAAAGGCTCTTTTCCGAATTTAAATCATTTTGAAGTTTTAAAACCTTCTCCTGTTAATTAAAAAAATGTTTGGAAATCGTTATTTTGAACCGTTTTTCTTTCCAATTTTCCTAATCCGTCTAGACACTTGAAGAATCAGCCAGAGCTTCTACGGAAGATATTTTCCCGCTGGAGCGAACTTGTTCAAGTGCGACCTAGAAAAGACCGAAAAAAACTAAAGAGAAGCGCAGGAAAACTTGTCAGTTGGAGCCATTTCGGTCCCATCACTCACCGCCCTTTTTCAATTCGACCTTCCGCGCTCTCAATTCCTGCGCTAATCCACCGCCCGAGCTTCCCACTCAATTTCAACATTTTTCCTGTTTTTTTACGCTTCTGTTGCTTCGGTTTTATCTACTAGCTTGAAAAAAAAAGTTTAACTCGATAAATGTTAATTTTTTTATATTTTTTTCAATGTCCAATTGTTGTATTTCACCATTTTTTTTTGAACAAATTTTTGAAAGAAGGAACAAGGATTTTAGATGAAAAGATATTTCTAGTTATCGCAAAACCGAGTTCTTCACCTAAAATGATGAATTTTGAGATCAACACTCAAACATTTTTGAAAATCTGTAGCATTAGTGAAGTAGAAAAATCAGCTCAAATCATATTTCATTAGTTTTTTTCTAATTTCTGGATTTTCCAGAATTCCTGCTTCAAAATCAATATTTCAATCGTTGTGATTGTTAATTATCACTTTTGAGTTGGGAAAGCTTATGACCGCTTGTGAAATATATGCGTAGAGGCTGAGAGGCGAGTTGCAACCGATTCAAAACGGTTTGCCCGTGGGGACATGAGGAAGCGTTCAAGCGAATTTCCACGAGCCATTCTACATATTTGTTCAGTTTTTCCGAGAATAGAAATCAGTTCTGTGAATCACAAGTAGAAATTTTCATTATTAATAACAGAAAAATACAGAAGATACTTCTGAAACCCGACTTTTTTTGTATTCATTGTACTTAACTTCATTCAGTTGAGTCACTTCATCAATATTTTTTTTTTGCATTCGAACCTCTAAAAATCGACCAAACAATTAACAAGAACAAAAAACGATATCTGAGAAGGAATATAATATATTCATGCCCAATTTCGAACAAAACAACAACAATCCTTCTTTTCCCACTCAAAAACATTACTATTCCCCCTTCTTTACGCTTCGATAATTAATTTTTTCTCATCTTCTTTTTCTGTTTGAAATTGGGAGTTTTTTTTCTTCTAAATGTGATTTTCATGATTTTTTTGAAAATATTTTGATCAAATTTAAGACTTTCAAGTTTCAAAGGTCTATGTAAATTAATACAGTTTTTTCCCTCAAAAGAAGATTTCTCAACAGAAACTTTTTCGAAATTCGTTATTCTTACGTCGTGGTCGAATTTGGAATGGCCAAAAGCTTCCCGGTCTGGATTTATTAACTTGCTACAATACCCTCAAATGCCTCCAGGCGCGAACCGTTTTTGGTCGGTTGCAACCAAGTCCCAGCTGCCACGCCTCGGCCATTCCACGTACGGTTTTCGAAATCATTAATTATATGCCAAAAGGTTCAAAAATCGGCAGAATTATCAAAAAGTTCAATATTCTCCAACAAAAAATATGATAAAAGGAAAAATTTCCTCCACTTTTTTAAAAATCAAATCATCATTTTTTTAATCATCAGACGTTTCCATTGAGCCATTATTTCGAAAGAATTACAAAACAATTTTCAACCTTTCCCTGTTTTTTTTCTTGATTTTTTTTATATCAGTTACTTCCCCTTGATAGTCTTCATTCTTCTTTTCATTATACTTTTTTCCGATTCGACTAATCCTCTCCAAATATCTCACATTACCTCACAAGAGGATAAGCTTTTCCCATCAATTTCAATGGCGAAAAGAAACTTTTCCCCCTTTTTTTTGGAAAAAAAAGACGAGGCCAAACCGCCATGCATCCTCAATGAAAACGAAACGAGATCAATGGGGGTTCGGTGCACTTTTTTGTGAGGCTTCCGATGAGTTTTTCGAGTTTTTTGTCATTTTCAACATTAATTTGGAGATTATCATTTTAAACGGACTCCAATGGTGATAAATTAATGTTTACTTGACTTTTTACTGATTTAATTGACTTTTTCTTGTAGGATATTAACTTTTTATTAATTTTTCAGGGCGCAGAGAGCCAAAAGAAAAGTCTTTGAAGAAGTAAGAGTATAGGCAAAGTCGGAAGGACCTTCCGATGGTCCATGAAGGCTGCTGGAAGGCACCATAAAAATTTTGACGAAGACTCCTTTTCTGCTACCTCTTTGTGCCGTTTTATCGGCCCTTATGCACCATTTTTCTCTCTTTTTCCATAATTTCTTGAGCCTTTAAAATGCTAGGAAAAATGAAAGGCTCGATAAAGGGACTCTTTTTGCTGCCTTTTTTGAGCCTCTCCCTTTTAGCGGCCATTATCCACCGTTCGGAGTTTGCCCGGAAATTCTTAAGCCCTGACCTGTACCAAAAACAAAATTACCCATATTGCGCTTCTCGAAGTTCGTCTTTTAAGTGACCACTTCGGAGAGAGTGTACCTTTTTTCCCTCCTTACCGCTTCATGTAGTAGTCACTCAAGTGGTTCATCGGCCCAATCAGTCTTGTTTTTGAACCATTTAGGTCACCAACGTGGTTTTTTTTTCTCTCATTGGCGATTTTTTCATGATACCCATTTTTTATGAGCCATTCAGAGACCTTCAAAAAAGGCTCATTAGTTTTACGAATGTAATCCTCTTATAAAATGAATAAATTGATTTTTTCACAAGTATAGAATCTACCAGCTTTTTTCTAAACTTCCGTCCCAATTGAAATACGTTTCAATTCATCTTTATCTAAATTGAAAATGACTCGATTCTATTGATGTTTGAGTGACTCTACTCTTTTAAATCTGAAGAACTTGTTGCAGTATATGGGTACATGATGGTGGCTCGTTGGCTGATCGCAATCAGCATGATCCGCGCCGCCGGTCCGTTCATCTTCCAGCAAGCCTCCCGACATCCTCGCTGTTACGAACTCGACCTCGAAAATTGCTTCCGCGAGGCTTTCCTCGTAAGTCGAACCGAAGAAGCTGAAATTTTCGAAAATCCAAAAGAAAATAAAGAGAAAAAGTTGCGCGAGGCTTTTCCTGTCACAGTGCACCAGGAAAAATTATGTCCTTTTTACTCTTTTTTCTATTTTCATTTCAAAAATGTTACAAATACTAATGAATTTCATCGATAAAACCAGTTTATCAACTCTTTGTTCTTTCCCTAAAATTCAATGGTTTTTTAAAGTTGTGCTTATTCAAAATTCGAAGGTTAGTGTCTTATTTGAATTTGGTAGCAAACTAAAATTTGGAAATTGCTTCCAAGTGTCCTAAGTTCATTTAGAAGGTAACACCTGAGCGCGAATTTGCAGAAACCGCTCCCGCCATGCCATTTTCCTTCGTTTTATAACTTTTTTATTGTTTTTTTCTTTGCGAGCTTCGGCCCTTAATCACTGGTCAGCTATTCAAAACATAGTTATCAGTTGAGGAACGTGGAAATTATACTCTTGTGAGGTCAGATTTAAGAAAAAAAAACAAAAGAAATAACAGAGAAATAGTTGTTTTGGCTTGAAAAGGAAGTTTTTTGGTAGGTTTTTGGTCGCTTCTTTCTAATTCTGAGATAAAAATAGAATACCTTTACAAAAAATACATTTTCGAAAATACAGACCGAAAAACTGAATCTTGAGAATAGCTTCCAAGTCCAAAGACAGTCGAAATGAAACGAAAAAGGTCACGCCACTATCAACGACGCGCAAACCGGCGCGAGTCGGGCGCACGAGAAAGTGGAGTGACCACGCCGCGACGCCATCTCCGAGACCATACTATACAGAATCATTTCTGCAGTATGTATCTCGCAATCCCCATCAAAATGGCACACACGCCAACCGCGATGAACGGGAGACGGGCGGTCCGCGAGCGTGAAATACCGTAATCCTACGGTTGATGACCGCGGCGGGACCCAATTTTTGGAATCCGCCAGTGGACTGCTCTTCTGAGCGGTATTATAATGATAGAAGTAAATGGAAATAGTGTTTGTGAGGCTGTTATTTCATTATTTAAGAAGAATTTTTGTTCATGCTTTTTAAACTCGTTGAGAATAAATCATGGAACTTTAATATGGAGCCTTTATAGCTCACATGCCTTCAAACTTCACGAAAAAAGAGCACGCGTTTTCGAAACTCAGAAAAAAGCTCCATTCTGCCTTTAAACTTTTTAAAAATTGTCATGCGATTTGAAGTTTGACAAGGAAGGCTCACGGCTCATTAAATTTATTTGGAAATCCTCAATCTGCCCCTTTAAATCTCACAAAGAAGTGGTTGTGTGCTTGATTTTACTTGATTCGTATGTTGCCACGGGCCTTTCAATTAACTTTTCAACCGAAAAAACCTTTTTTATCCATTCCCTTCGTCTTTCTCTTTCAAATCAACACGAGGAAGGTTTAAAAAATTTTTATTGATACAAAATTAACATTGAGCGGAATTAAATTAACAGTAAAAAAAAGACGCAGAATGATGGGATAAGTGTGGAGCTTCGTGAAGAGTTTCTGAAAAAAAATTTTCGGGTTAGCCATTTATTTTCCAAAGAAGCTTGTTCCAAGTTTTTAGGTAAGATCCAGTATAAATGTTTTTATTTTGAGAAAAATGAGCTAAAAAAACCTAGAATCTCAAAACCAACAAAAAAAAAATAATAAAGCGAGATTTCTACCGTAAAAAGAACCGAACTTTCCAAATTTTTTTCACCTAGTTTTGGGTTTTTGAATCTTTTTTTGAGCTTATCTCTTTTTTTAAAAATTAATTTTCAAGACTCAAAAAAAGCCAACCTGATTTTTTTCCGATAAAAAAATGGTGACTGAAGTTAGATTCCCGGGGTGGGCAAGGCGGTAGAAGTTGTGCCGTGGCCGACGAACGGCGGTGGAGATCCTGGAGAAGCTGGACCAGCTACAGGAGCTGGAGGAGGTCCAGATGGAGCGACTCCAGCAGGGCCAGGGGGAGGAGGCGGAGGTCCAGAAGGAGCTGGACCGGAAGCCACAGGAGCTACAGGTGGTCCGGCCGAGAGAACTCCAGCCGGAGGATGGGGAAGAGGAGGTCCGGAAGGAGCTGGACTAGCTGACGACGACTTCATATCACCGCCGATCGGACCAACGGCCAGACCTCCATCATGAAGTTGTGGAGCCGCAGTTGAAGTCGTGGTGATTGGACCGGCCGAAGTCAGCCCGACGAGGATTAAAAGGCCGAGTAGAACCTTCATTTTTGAGAGAGAATCGGTTTTGACAGCTTTTTGGAGCAGTTTTATAGTCTGTTTCGGTTGTCAAGGTAACCTGGGAGGTGTGGCTTTATCTTGAGAAAAAATGGGGTTGTTATTGAAGGAGACTTTGAAAGTGCGAGCATGAGAGAAAACAGAGGAATATGCAGAAAAATGGATGATGTTTTGGATAGTTGTTGCTTTGAAAGCCTTGATGTTTCAGAAGACTTGAAAACATTGAAATTTGCGACTTGGTCGCGCTGGGAATGGCTCGAAGCGTCGCGGTCGCTTTTGATCGGAACCGGTTCTCAGAAGCTTGGCTTATTGTTTTCCGATGGCTTAGAGCGGAAGTCGTTTTGAGTCGGGTGCGCCGTGAAGCAGCCGCTAGGCGGTCCTTATGCGACTATGGATTTCTACAAATGAAAAAATTTTAGAGCATTTTGTTCTAATTTGCTTTTTTTTGTGAATAAGAATCCAAAAATTCAAAATAAAAAAGTTCTTTTACTTCAAGAAAAAATATTTGTATTTGACCAAACGTTGAGAAATCAAAAAAATTTATGATTGAAAAAAATTAAATATATCTTCGGATACAATTTTTTTGTAGTAAACACTTGGTTTTCTTTCTTTTTAAGCGAGCTTTCATCGATAATAAAGTAATTGAGGCAGTCTGACCTGTCTGCGCCCTCTCTTCTCTCGCTTTTTAAGTTATAGGAGCGTGAAATAGCACGTAAAAAGAAGATAGCCCAGAAATCAGATCATGCTACTTTTTGTCAGTTTGTAATGTGCAAAAAAAAAGCGATTTTTGAAATTTTTAATAAACATCAAAAATATAATTTTTGACTCGAAATCAAATAAAAATATAAAAAATGTGTGAATTTGACAGGTGTACATGTCCACATGGATGATGCAATACCGGAGGGTAAGATTATACAGAAAAAATCGTGTCCTCTCCACCTATTTCCTTTATTTTCCATCACAATTTTTCCTACAGCCATATTTTTCTCCAAGTGTGTTGTTTCCATGGACTTTTTGGGTTCCGAAAAGTTCAAAAAGAAATGAAAAAAGTGTGAATTTTGAGGGTGAACATGCACCGACATCAACTAATCGCACCCCACTCACAACACGTTGCAAAATATAAATATTTTAATCATCATGGTCGCATTTGGAATGGCTGAGAGCTTGCGACTTTCTCTGATTATTTTGGATGTCCTAGCGCGAAAATCGTTTTGAGTCGGGCGCACTGGTTAGAAGCAAGCCGTCAAGTTTTTAGCCATTCCACGTGCGACCAAAAATGTTAAGTTTAGAACTTTTGGAGTTTGATGGATTTTGTAGTACAGTTACTGTATGGAACACTGATCTAAAAGTTACTGTATGGAAAAAAATACCGTAATTTAAAAATGATTTGATTATAAGCTTTAAAAAGCGTAAAGTCGGTATCTCGAAAATAATAATTGGTATTAATATTGATATTATTTTTTTGAGGATACAAAAAAATGATAAAAACTTCTACTTGTAACTCTGGCCTTTCCCCAACTTCTACAGTAATCCTTTTTGAATATCTCCTACTGTAATTCCATTTTCGAAAAAATCCAGTACCTTTCCTTTCAAAAGTACTGCTGTTGTGTCAAAATATGCAGAAAACAGGAAGTTTCAAAATTGAAAATAAATAAATGCTTCAAAATCACCGGGTGTTTTTGATGAATAATTTGCACCTGCCGAGTTTTTCACTTGATTTGAATTTTATCTTGGCGAAAAAAAAGATTTTTTGGGGTGAAAATAGAGTGAATGAATGATTTTGGGGTTTATTTTTTTGAGCAGTTGAGAAAAAAATTTTTTTCGAGTAAGTTTTTTTGATTTTTGTAAATCGAAGTTATTATTTTGGAAGCTTATAAAAAAACTCTACGTAGGAATTTCAGAGGAGTCCCTCTAGAGGTTAGGGGGCCGAAAAAGAGGTCCCTTTAAGCGTCAAAATTTTTTCCCATGGAAATACTTCTTTGCTTAGACTTCATAACGACTAACATGTC